CCCCTCCCCCTCCCCCCCCTGGCTCTTCCCCCCGCCGTGGGGCCGCTCGGGGGGCTCTGGGGACAGCCTGCTCCTCCACTCTCGCCACCCCTCACTTGCCGTTCGGGCCCCACACGCTTCACCGCCTCCTGCCCCGCTCGCTTCTGTCTCCCCCTTCTCCAAACTCTGAGGGAAGCGGCCTGGCTTGGGAACGCGGAGGCGGCTGAAGTTACATTTTGGGGAAAAGAAAGAAAAAAAAGTTCTGCTTTTAACTGAACCAGCAAGATCCTTCTGTATGTATCCAACCTATCTCTAAAAGCTTCTCCTAGGAACCAAGGAGTTTCTCTCTGGTGGCGCTACCCAAAGGGCCTTGCCAAGGGCGGCGCTCTGCGGGTGGCATCAAAGTCACCTGAGAGCCACTACGTGGAGGCAGGAGCCGGGGCCGCAGGGGCAACAGAGCCCGGGGAGCCCGCGGAGCGCGGGCACAGGCTGCTGCGCGTGCGGACAGGGCGACCCGGAGCGTTTATTGCACTGCTTCAAAGAGGCGGAGGAGGAACGGGAGAGGAGAGCGCCGGTCACCGTTTCACCTTAGCGTCTTCTTTGATCTTCCAGACCATGAGCTCCATGCAGGCTCTGGCATCCTCGCTAGAGTCGTGCCCTTCCACTGGGGACAGGAGGAGAAGGGCCGCGTCAGCCCCCAGCCCCGGGCGCCTGCCCCTGCGCAGAGGGGCAGCCGGAGGCTTCCCCAAACGTCCTGCCTGGCGCCCCGGCCCCGCTGCCCGCTCCCCCTGCGCTGCTGTGAGCGTGGGCGCAACCCTGGGACACCCCAGGGGGGCATTTAGGACAGCAGAGCAGCCCCTGCGCGGATTTTTGCTGAGCTTGTTGAAAAGGGGAATGAGATGCTCCTGCAGTGGCCCGGGGCTGGGGAGGAGCTGGCTGGAGAGGCCCCAGCTTCCTCGGCGGCGTGCCGTGCTCCCAGCGGAAATGCCAATCCCACTTTGCCATAGAGAGAAAGGAGGGCAGGGCACGGCCTTGGCAGAGCTGTCCCCGGCCTTCCCACACCCGTTCCATGTCCCTGCTCCCCACCTGGCACAGACAGGGAAGGTGGAAGCGCTGCAGACCTTCTGCAGAGGCCTGAAATTAAACAGGGCAGTGGCAAAGCCTTCGTGTGCTGCCCTGCTCACAGCTACGGTGCAAAATAAAGCCCGGGAGGAAGGGGGCCTGGGGGGACAGGGAGGCGGCAGCTCAGAGGAGGCCGCGCGGGCGGGCCGGACTCACCGTTGTCCTGGATGATGCGTTTGAGGTAGTCTGCCATGAGCGTCCGCAGGGCCCGCTTGTAGGGCAGCCCCAGGCGGTGTGGGAAGACGATGGCCGTGTCCACCACGGTGCCGTGGATGAGCTGCAGGGAGCAAAGGGACAGCCTTGTTTCCCGCCTCCCGCAGAGGAGCCGCTCCTTGGAGCGGCCCCGCACGAGCACCGACCCGCTCGGCCTCCGACCCGGCGCAGCCCAACCGGCCCCGGACGCGGCACCACGTCCCAGCGCCCTGCGGCACCTCCGAGCCCTCCCTTCAGCTCCTGCAGCCCCAACAGCAGGACGGACTGGCCCTTCCCAGCCTGGAGAAGGTGGCAAACAGAGGGCACCCACCCAGCACGGCGGGAAGGACCACGCGAAACCTGATACTCGCTCGCAGCAGCTTCTTGGGATGTGGATTTAAGTGGGAAGCGTGTACGAATTAAAACTGGATGAGCTGTCACACTGTTGTGGGAGGAGATTTTTGCTTCTTGCACGGAAAAGGTCTAAGCTCCGAGGTGCCAAACAAGCCCCAAAATTCCAGGCAGAGTCTGTCACCAACGGGAGTCAACAGGAAGTTTGCAAAGCAGCACTGGCTGAGCAAGCACGGGATGAAATGGGTCAAGCAGAGCTCGCACTTCCGGACATCAGGAATTCTCAGGTGGGTGGGAGGGAAGCCCTGGCCATGCTCAGGTCGAGGTGCCTGGGCACAAGGTAGGAGGTTTGTGCTCCTCTAGCTGTGAGGTGTCACCGTGCTGGGGATGCTGAACAGGCCACCATGTCACCTGTCCCACACTAAGGGGTCCTGAGGTGTTTTATCCTTAGCCCTGGTTTCTTACTCTTGAGTAATCCTCTGTTGGCCAAGAACAGCAGGATGGAGGCAAATCCACAGTGTGGTGTCTGCACCCCGGAGCAAAGGGCTGCTCTGGGGGTCTCAACACACAGCGACAGGACCCCAACGATCCCCTCTCCTCATGATGACGACATCGAGGCGGATGAGGAGAGGGGATCGTCGGGGTCCTGCTGCTGTGTGACCGTTCCCAACTCGGCATTAGGAATCTCATAGCCCGGATCCGTAAGTGCTCAAGAACAGCTGCGGTTTAGCAGAAAACCTGCTACGCTCTTCGCAGGGTGAAACTGCCAACATTACGGATCATCTCTCCTCGACTGCAGTCAACTTTGGCACCCACCCAGGCACAATGACAATTACTTATGTAGATGGAGGAATTGGGATTATACGGCCTTAACTGAAGCCCAAACTGCCCTCCCAGCCCCAGAGAGACCAACGCAGTCATCCCGCGCTGATTAGACCCTGAATAATTTTTTTATGATGATGATGAACCCTCGGAGACGCTGGGATAAAGGGTGCCACGGAGGGGTAAAGCACTTTGCAGCCATTAAAACCGGCGGCAGCCGCGGCTCCCGATGAGGAGCGGCTGGAGGAAGGTTGGCACCGGGATGCGGTTTCCCGCTCCACGCCTGCCCATGGCCCCGACACCGCGCCGGGAGCGCAGGGACCGCCCGCGCGGGGAGCAGGGGCGGCCGGGGGATGCTCAGACCACAGCAGCGAGGTCCAGGCCAGAAAATGAAAGGGAGATGAAAGGTCGAACTGCCTTGATCAGAGCAACACCACAGATCACAGCGAGCAAGGCAGAAAAACTCACTTGGAGAAGTCAGGTGTTTTAAAACTAGAAGCAAGAGATAATTATCTCCTCTGGCAGAGCAAAAGGGCTTTGTCCCATTTCTAAAAGAGGTTCCCCGGACACCCTGATGGCAGAGGAGACCCTTGGGCCCACTTTGTTGGGGCCCTGACCTGCTGTCTGCGAACACAGCCAAAGGGGGCCAACACCAACGGCCACATCGGGAATTAGGGACTCTACAGGCAAGTCCTTGGAGCTCAGGCCGTACAACTGGCCCCCACTGCTCCTCCTCCACAGACCCCCCTGCAGAGCTCTGCCCCCCGGACAGCAGCCATCACTGCGAGCACAAGGACAGCGCTCCGACCGCTCCCGCTGCTCCAGGAGACGGACCCGTCCTGCCTTCCTAGCTCTTGGAAATCAGGCATTTTCCAAGTTAAAAGGCGGCACGTAACAGGCACCAGGACAAGGAAGAACCAGAGGAAAGTGTGAATGCGAGACAGGTGAGTTTACCTTTAGTGCAAATAAGTCGCTTTCCAAGCTGTGCCCTATCAGTATGGTGTCTGCGCTGAACATGTTCAGGAGGACGGCCTGGACGTCCCGTAGGGTGATGCTCGTGTTCTCCAGGTCCTCCTCTGTCACCCCGGAGAACCTGCAGCGTGAGAGCAGCAAGGGGGGCTCCTTCACTAAGGGAACATCTCTGGGTGTGCTCTTATCAGAGCTCTGCTGTTATCAGAGGTGCCCCCGTAAATTCCAGCCGTTGGGAAGTGCTAACGGACTGGGGCTGGGGCTCTGTAAGGGTCCCCCAGCAGATTCCCCAATTTCCTCATTCTGAGCAGAAAACACGTGAGCCACGGAGAGCCGTCCTTACCTGGTGTTATAGTCCACCACCTTGGTGTCCGGCTTGACGAAAGTGTCGTAGACCACTTTGAGGTCGGAGTTGATGACGGTCACTCTTGTCAGCTCCAGGCCTTGCTTAGTGTAACACTGCAAGCAAGAAGGCAGGCGTGGAGAGGAGCACGTGTCGAGCACAACGCAGCGTCCAGCCCGGCGCCCACCACAGCGGCCCCGCTCCCGGTACACAGCAGGACCAGCTGACAGATACTGCTCAATACCGGCCACTTGGCTGCCGTTTCCAAGGGCTCGTGTGATTCCCAAAGGAAGCACGTGCTGCTAAACTAGCTAATAAGGTTTAAAGTTAACAGAACCTCTTTAGAGCGTGGAGTATCACGGGGACACACAGACACACACAGTGCTCAGGGCTGGCCAGGCCCACTCTGAGCACTGGTTCCCGTGCGGGCAGACCAGCCTGCACCATTCCCCGGGGCCACGGGCAAGGAACAAGCTCCCCTTCAGGCCGTAACAGTTTTTCACAGAATCATAGAATGCTGAAGGTTGGAACGGACCTCTAGAGATCATCTAGTCCAATCCCCTGCACACGTAGGGTCACCTAGAGCATGTGGCACAGGGCTGCGTCCAAGAGGGTTTGGAAGATCTCCAGAGAAGGAGACTCCACAACCTCTCTGGGCAGCCTGTTCCAGTGCTCTGGCACCCTCACTGGTAAGAAATTTTTCCTTAAGTTCCTGTGGAACTTTGGGTGTTTCAGTTTGTGGCCATTTCCTCTAGTTCTGTTGGTGGCCACCAGTGAAGAGAGGCCAGCACCATCCTCCTCACGGCCTCCCTCTAGGTACTTCTAGACACTGCTCAGGTCCCCTCTCAGCCTTCTCTTCTCCAGCTGAACAGGCCCAGCTCCCTCAGCCTCTACGCTCTTCTCAATGCTTCCCCCCTCTGCAAGTTTCCTACCTTTGGAGGAAGACTGTAAGGAGACAGAATTTCCCTTCAGCCTTCCTCTAAGCCCTGTTTTGCCTGGGCACTGCTTCTGTTATCAGGACTTACCATTTCACAGTCTAACGCGTAGATCCCAGGATAACCATCAGTCGTAGGCAGCTTCTCAAAAGTCTTCACGAAGCCATCCAGGCTCTCCTTCCGCCCATCGTGCACATGTTGCTGCACGGGAAAAAGGCACGTTCATTGGCAGCAGGAACAAGAATCCCTCAATTGCCATTTCAGCAAAACCCCCAACTCAAAGACCTATTTTTTTTTTAAATGAGGAATGGGGTTCACTCAGCAATGAGTCTGAGAGGTTCACCACAATGGCAAAAATAGCCACAAGCGACCCCAGGTCCAAGGACAGGTCAGAGCTAGTGGCTTTGCACTGACAGCTCCCGTAGCAGCAACACATCTGACACCTGGGGACAAGGAGCCTGGGGATCTCAAACAACTTTCGACCTTCAGCTCCGAGCAGAGCCGCCCTGGGAAGGCTCGTGCTGAGGTCTCGTGGGGATTTACTCCAGCTGCTGGGTCACGGTTTAAATTGTGGACAGGGCATCTCGGGGCAGGAAGCTGATCTTCGGCCTTCGTGCTCGAGCACAGTCAGCATCACGTGTAGCATAACCCGGAGACAGCAAGAGTAAGTCTAGTGTAAGGAGGCCCAGGAAAACACGGACACACAGACACTGCAAACTCTAGCTGCTCCATCCCACAACCAGACAGCTCTCAGACAAACTAGAGCCACTGCCTTCGAGCGCTGGAGGCAATAAATGGAGACAATTTCCAACCCCTTCCCCTTATCCTCTGCTAAAGCTCCAGGGTCAACAAAACTCAGACCCACAGAGCTCCCCGAGCCAGCGGGGAACTCGGGCAGTGCTTTGGAGAGTGGCTTAAGCCAGTGCGAGACGAGAGCCGCCGCTGCAGCACGCGCTGCTCCGCGCTCTCCGCTCCGCTGCGGATCCCACCCGGCATCGGCACCGCTGCTGCTTGCTCGGCCTGGAAACTCTCTTGGCACAGGGAGGCTTAAGCTGGATCATTGCACTTATCCCATTACCCTCTGGTCGCCCCAGCGAGGGCGGAGGAAAACACAGTAGAGAGCAATAGAGCTGCAAACACCCCTTTTACAAACACCCTTAGATTTGCAAACACCCCCACCTGTCCATTAACAGGGTTTTAGGTGAAATTAAACCTGCTGCACCACACCCAGGCTTCACCATCTCTTCCTTATTTCCCAGTGTTTCAAATCTTTTCTATCCTCGAGAATTAAATGCCCACAGTCCCTCTGTGCACAGCCACTGTGCTGATGCTCCCCACGGATCTCACCTACAAGGAACCACATTGCACTTGGCATCTCCTCAGGACTGGGAGGCTTGGAGGGATGAGGCACAGAAGTACCTGTGAGCTGGAGCCTGAAGGTGGGAGGACAACCAAGGCTGGGATTGGCACGTTTTCCCAAGCAGGTTATTAGCGCAGGGCAGGCAGAGAGCTGCATCACGTGAAGCTAACTGGACAGCTGGGCAAACAGGGAGCCCGACTGCCCCCTGCGCCCGAGGCCAGCGGTGCTCAACACATTAGACAAGTGCCACATTAGACAATTTTGCCCCCAAGGCCCTGAATCTGATCACAGAATCACAGAATCATAGAACACCTAAGGCTGGAAGGGACCTCTAGAGATCATCTAGTCCAACCCACCTGCACACGCAGGGTCACCTAGAGCACGTGGCACAGGGCTGCGTCCAAGCGGGTTTGAAGATCTCCAGAGAAGGAGACTCCACAACCTCTCTGGGCAGCCTGTTCCAGTGCTCTGGCACCCTCACTGGTAAGAATTTTTTCCTTAAGTTCCTGTGGAACTTTTGGTGTTTCAGTTTGTGGCCGTTTCCTCTAGTTCTGTCAGTGGCCACCAGTGAAGAGAGGCCAGCACCATCCTCCTCACTGCCTCCCTTGAGGTACTCCAGCTGAACAGGCCCAGCTCCCTCAGCCTCTCCTCATAGGGCAGATGTTCCAGGCCCCTCATCATCCTCATAGCCCTGCGCTGGACTCTCTCCAGCAGCTCCACATCCCTCTTGTCCTGTGGGGCCCAGAACTGGACACAATACTCCAGATGTGGCCTCACCAGGGCTGATGGTTTTGCCAAACAAACAGAGCAGGTGCCCAAGCCAACAGAGAGCAAACGTTCCTCTCCCCTTCAGCTCAATTCCTTCTCTCGCTGTGCAACGCAATATAACAGGCCAAAAGCTGACGCTCTGCAGCCCACCAATTCTTGCTGAGGGGGGCAGAAACGCTGCCCCTGCTCCACAGAGCGGCGCGAGCCCGAGGCGTCCCCACCCCACCAGCAGCTCCGGGGTGGCTGTGGGTTTGTGCACGGCTCCGTTCTGCCACCTCCCGCCGCGCCCGCTAACTGCAGCGTAACCCAAAGCGCTGGCCGGGAAGGGGCTGCAAGGAAAACACAGGGGAAGGACTCAGAAACGCTCCTCTAACCAAGCACTGAACCAGTCACATGAGGGTGTCATGATTATGCATATTTGGTATATCAGCTGCTGGAGAGAGGCCAGCGCAGGGCTACGAGGACGATCAGGGGCCTGGAACATCTGCCCTATGAGGAGAGGCTGAGGGAGCTGGGCCTGTTCAGCTGGAGAAGAGAAGGCTGAGAGGGGACCTGAGCAGGGTCTAGAAGTACCTCAAGGGAGGCAGTGAGGAGGAGGGTGCTGGCCTCTTTTCAGTGGTGGCCACTGATAGGACTAGAGGAAACGGCCACAAACTGAAACACCCAAAGTTCCACAGGACCTTAAGGAAAAATTTCTTCCCAGTGAGGGTGACAGAGCACTGGAACAGGCTGCCCAGAGAGGTTGTGAGTCTCCTTCTCTGGAGATCTTCCAAACCCTCTTGGACGCAGCCCTGTGCCACGTGCTCTAGGTGACCCTGCGTGTGCAGGGGGTTGGACTAGCTGACCTCTAGAGGTCCCTTCCAACCTTAAGCATTCTGTGATTCTATGATTCTATGGTGTTTTCAGTGTCCTCCTCCAAAGCTGAAAAATACTGCGCTCCTCTGCTAGCCCGAACTTCCCAGTTCTCAAATTCTCATCCTGAGGGCACGGGATGTTCCAATCTTAACTCCCCCATCACAGGATGCTGCAAGACTCACTCATTTGGACAAGAAAACCAAAGAAAACCAGGGTGGAGTGACCCATAGCAGCACAACAGCAAGGAGGAGGCAGATGGGAACGGCCCAAGCCCCGGAGCACTGGCAGCTTCGTCAAGTCAGAGGTTATTAGAGAGATTGTTTATTTCTTAAAAGGCCGTGGGGTTTTATGGTCTACAACAGCCCTGCAAAAGTATGCAGAGAAGTCATGTTTTTATAGCCCCATCAATTTCTGACTTCCCAGCTTGATGTTTTTTTTCAGAACACTGACTAAAAAGACATTCTAATTCCAAATGAAAAAGTAATAGAGATGCAGCAGCCTGAGCCCCATCTGTGCTCCAGACTCAGTAGATCAGTTTGGCCGTCCTTCCTACTTGGCAAACTTTAATTTTTGCTGCAGAAATCACATCCTAGCTCTAGCACCTGACCAGGACAAGGAGGACACGCATCTCCTGAACCCCCAGTCAGGTTGCTGGTCCCGCACTGCCCTAGGGCTTCCAGAGAGTGGGACATGAAGGCACCACGGCCTTGCTCCGGAGCCAGCTCCACTGGACAGGATTCCTCGATT